GTTATGTTAGGTTAGGTTAGGTTAGGTTCGGCTGATTAGTTTGGGAAGGATTAGGTAAGGCTGAGTTAGATCGGGTTTGGCTTTGGTTATCTTACGTTAGTGCGGGCTAAGTTAGGGTAGGTCGGGTGCCCCGCTGTCGAAGGTGTGTAACAGGGATTTTGAACAGTTATAATGTGTCACTTGAAATAAGCAGTCTGGTTTGTTATGATCTGCGTCTAACTTGAACCCACCATGGTTATAGTCTGGTTTGTTATGCTGTGCGTCTAACTTGAACCCACCATGGTTATGCAACGGTTATAAATAGGGCTAGTGTCGTATTAACATGTCGAAATAACCCCCGAATTACCTCTCGATGCATAACACGCTTTGTCACGTTTGGTCACGATTTGTAAATCTTCGTCAAGTTTAGACGCATGGTGATCCCCTGTCACGAGGTCAATGAATGGCACAATTCTGGTCACGTTTTGTCAGGCTTGGGCACGCGTGGTCACAAACTCACGTTTCGGCACGCTTACGTTATGCTACGTACGGCTCGGTTAATTTCTGCTACTTTGCAATGCATTAGATGAACTTACGACAGGTTAGGTTATGATAGATTGGGTTAGGTTAAGTTGGGTTAAGTTTGGTGGAATTAAGTTATGTTAGGTTTGATTAGTGGATTCTGGAAGGTTAGTAACGTTTTGAAAATTTTTGTGACCTTTTGACAATTATGGCCACAATGGGTCACGCCGTCACAGTACAGTACAGAAGAGGTAGTGGTGAATCGAGTGATATATCAGAAAGCGATGGTCTGTGAGGAGTTGAAGAATTGGAAGTGTTGTGAAGTATATAAAATTACCTAATATTCTCTGCAGTATTAATTTGCTAGTGATGTGTAATGCAGTCAAATCAAATTTCCTGTGTTACATGCCGTGGTGATATTTTATTTGGAGTGTACTCTACGCAGCCTGCTGCCGTTCCTTCCAGCAAACTTCTGGTCACTGACTCGCTGTAAGGTTCCATTTCATAAAGTTCAGAGGCCAAAAACTCTGGAAAGCAGTATACCATTCTACATGGCGCAACAACCAATCTTCATACTCACCGCCATGAAAATCTCAAATCCTACAAAGACTGCTCTATTTTCACTGTGAATCGTAATTTCAAGGTCAGACCCTCAGCCAGATATTTTCTGCTGCCAATGCAGTCTTCTTCTTACTGATATCAGCTTTTTACATCAAAATAGTGTTTCTCTTTTCTTGTATCTCCTTTTTGTTTTAATTGTATTTTGTTATGTTTCTCATTTTAGTGCTCGCTTGTAATTGGATTTTCAGCTGTTGTCAAGCACACTAATAAATGTATTGGATTATTATATCTTTATTGGTATAATCGTTATTAAATTTAACGTTGTGGGATGATGTAATTCTACACGACACAGAGCTCAGATTCAAAAATACCTTCACTAAGCTGTGCCAGCGATTTTAACCATTTTGAGATAAAGCAGTATTGTTCCCCTAATTTCATTATTATTTAAGACAAATCGGGAAAATGAGGAAGTGATGTAGTTCCGGTGCTGTGACATCGAACTTACATTCGAATCTGTTGGGATGAAACAAGCATTGTAATAAAAATGAAACTACTAATTATTGAGTGTATGAAAAAGTAGCTGTGACTAATAACCATCAGGAATCAACAAAAAACACATGCTATTCTGAAAAATACTAGTGTTTTAGACTAAGAGAGTACATATAATGGTTGTGTGGGACTGCGTAACAAGAAACTCTAAAGCATTGAATATTTACTCTGTATATTCTGAGCTATTGACAGCGTATTAAATAAGCCACAGATAAATAAGTAATGCCACAGACAGTTAATTCAACGTCCTACTAATGTATGACTGAAAATAAATTTAGTGTCTAAAGATTAAAAGGAAGAGATCATTGTTTGTATTATCTCGTATTTATATTATTTTTGTTCACAAAAACTCTGCGATTCGTTGTGTCTAAAATAAAACATCAAACCTTACGTACCCTTCGCTGATTTCATTCAAACTAAATA